TTTCTTGATAGGCCATGTCTTAAGTAGATGTTTAAGATGCATCTATAGTCATGCATTGCTTAACAATGGGGATATGTTCTGAGAAATGCGTCGTTAGGAAATTTCGTCTTTGTGTGAACATCATGAAGTGTACTTACACAAACCTAGAAGGTACAGCTTCCTACACACCAAGGCGCTATGGTACTAATCTATGGGACCACCGTCATATATGCAATCCCTTGTTCATCGAAACGTCATGATGCGGCCCTTGAATTCTAACGTCATAGGGCTGCATCTTTCTTTAATGGAGTCATTCCTAGGAGAGGAGGGAGAGAGCATCATATCAGATCCAGTGACATCATCCCTGGTAGGGAGCAGAAATCCTCTCCACTCTGGGAACATGTAAGGAGAGGAAGCAAGAGGGGCCTCCTCTAGCTAGATTTTCCATGACTCTTCCAGTTAGGATGGGATGCTGCCCAGGACGTGTTCCTGCCTCAGATACACCTGATTTCTGGGGTGGACACTGCTCAGGGAGGGACCTACACGGAGGTAAGCACGTAAACAACCTGGCTTGGGGGCCAATACATATCAGACGTTAGTGTTACTTCTCTAACCTGCTCCCCCAAATGGTCTTGGGCATGTTTTTGTCCCCACATATCAAATGAAGAAAATAAGTGTAATACCTCCTGTTTATGCCTCACACATGAGAAAGAAAAATTTGTTTCAAACATGAGAAAAAGAAAAATCATAATTATTAGTAGTTTTTATTAGAAGCTGAATATTTTTTTGTTAGCTGTTCATACTAAAGAGGACAGTTGCTTGCATTTTCTGCCAGCTGGCCAGTCTGGCATGGCAGGGGGGAGGGTTGGAGTGTCATTGCCCAGGGGCCAGAGAGCCATTGCTCCTTATTTGTGATTTAGGGCCAGGTCAGCACCACCCCATTTTATCCTGGCCCCTGATAAAGACACGATGTTTTGCAACCCTGGGAATGAACTCTTAGAACTCACACTCAAGTCTCTGTCCCAGGTGCCTTGTTAATAAGCCAGTAACACCCTGACACATGCTCAGGATCAGTTTTTTAAGAAGTGTTCTTGTGATAAGGTGGTGTTTGAAAAATGCAATGACATCCCTTCACCGCGTTATCTGACGTCTAACCTTAGAGCATCTGCTCCGTTCTGTACATCTGAGAGCAGCGGTGAGGAATACAGCTTCTTTCTTCTCAAAAATGAGGATGAGTGACAAAGCAGCAGCCCTGTGGAAGGTCTGGAGGGCAGACAGGGGACGAGCAAGTGTGAGGTCAGTCTGGCTCAGGACAGGGTGGTGCTGCTCAAGGCCGACCACTTCCTTGGGAAACGAAGCTGAACTCGGCATGACATTCTGCCGTATTAGTCACAGAACACAATTGCACTATGAACCCTGAGAACATCCTTGGACACTTACTAAATTACAGATAGCCATGACTTACCTAATGTTATTTCCCTTTCAGGCTCGAAGAAGTAATGTTTATTTTATGAGTCCATCATCTGCCTTCTTCTCTCTTCCCTTTTCTGTTGAATTAATCTCCCTTCCTTGCATGCCATTCACTCACACACACAAACACCTTTGTTTCTGCACAATGATGGGGTTCAGAACATGCTTTCCCAAAATATGGCACTTTGGCATATTGAATATTTTCAGCTGGAGGGATTTGGGGAAAGGCAGGTGCCAGAAGGACTCTCTGCCCTTCCCTGAAGCGGGTCATAGACCTCACGTGTGAGGTTCCCTGCCCCCCACTCCCCCCCCCCCCCGCCCCCAGGAAAGGCGCATGCTGACCTCCAGATGGCAGGGCGCTGAAGGAGCCCAAGCGAGCAGGCCTTGCTACATCTCCCCAGCTGACCACCCTGAGATCATAGCTCTCCGTCCCGTCACATTTTTCCATGACTGTCCGCTCTTCAGCAAACCTAGCATAAAAATACTCAGGCCTGACCACTTCTCAGGGTCTTCATTTCCTCTTGAAGTCTCCCGTGTCATGTAAAACTAATATTAAGTAAACTTGCATGCTTTTCGCTTTGTGGTCTTTTGTTACAGAGACCCAGCTGAGAACCTAGGAGGGTAGAAGGAAAAAAAACTTTTTTTCCTCCCCTACAAGGCCTATCCTTGTTTATTTTATCTTGCCTTGCTCAAAAAATGATTTGAGACAACTTAAAGGATATATATACTACTACAGGGAGAAAAACCATGCAGACGAAAAAAGAAGAGAGGAGAAAATTTGGAATTAAGGATGGGATTAGACACCAGAGATGACTAATCTGCCAAACAGAGGCTATTCCAGCGTCCTCCCCTAACACAGTTAGGTCTTCTGGGGACTAACTTGGAGGCCTCGGCGTGGCCACTGCGTTAGACACAGAAAGACGGTGAGCCCCAGAGCTGGCTGTGTCTGTCTCACGTGGTAAGGTAGGCTTGCTCCCCCTGCATTTATGATGTGGGATTTGATCTTTATACTGTTTTTCCATTTCATTCACAGTCTGTACAGTGACCAATAACTTTTTTTGGGTGTCATGGTGATTGGAATACAAAGACAAAGTATAAAAGTTTGATGTTTTTCCCCTTAATATATATTTTAAATTGCTTAAGACCCTGGGCTCTCCTGCATTGCTCTGCTGTGTTAAAATGCCACATCGATCCATGGCCACATTGACTGGAGTCAAGAGAGTGGAGGGAGACGTCTTGCTGATGGGGACCCTAACTGCTCCTGAGTCTACCTTGAGCAGAACGAGCCTCACATCAACTGTGCGCACAGAAGAGGGCAGTGGTGGGAGCTGAGAGGAACATACATCAGCCGTGCTGGGGGCTGAGGGCTTCTAAAGTTACCAGAGCAACACGTCCTGAGGAGGAGGGAGTGGGAGACGGGGAGCGTCTTACCTTCCGCAATCGGCAGTGCCGGGAGACTGGGCTCCAGATGGACTTTCCTGATGGAATCACCCGCCGGCCACAGCAGCAGCACTCCACACGCAGCATAGTCTCCTGCCCCGTCTGCTCCAGGTTCTTGTCTCACCTCCGCTTCCGATGCTCAGGCGACCATGTAACGCAGACCACAGGGGATTCCCAGAGCCCTCTTCCCTAAACCCTCTAGAATCCTCGAGAGACCTGAGCATTTTTCTTTTTTAAAAATTCATTCCTTTGTTCTTGGTGAGAAACACGTGATCCCAGCCTTCCATTTTGATACTTTTACGGCAAAATGCACACAGTAGGCCAGCTTTAGACAGAGGGTCCTGGGGAGCTGATCAAGGGCTCAGCTCCTTGTACTATTTCTCTTTGCTCTTCAGTCTTTTCTCATTCTTGCCCTAAACCTGGAGATATTTGCTTTCTAATCTGCCTTGCCAGCTCCTCCCACTCCTCTCTTCTCTTTTTTGGTGATTAACTCAGCTTCTTTGAGGCTGGTCACCTGCCCCTTGCTGGCCTGGGCTTGCTGCACACCTGGTGTCACCTTTCCCACCCCCAACGCACAGCTGGCAGCGTGTGGCTCTCAGCAATCAGCACACGTCAGTTTGACTCAAACCAGCTGGTGAGCTGCTTCTCAACGTGCTCATAATTTTGTTTTCTGTAGTACTCACTAATTTCACTACAAGCACCTTATTAATGAGTCTTTATAACCACCATTTTAACTAACTCCATCATGCTCTATAACGTGCATTTATCATCAATTGCTTAATCATTCCTCCATAATAGGGCTTTGGGTTATTTTTATTTATTTCAGTGCATTTACAATTGTTTTGGTATTTTAGGATAGACGTCTGGAATTATTGGATCAAAAATTTGAATTTTGTAAGATTTTTGACATTATTGCTAAACTGCTTTCCAAAATGCTTATAGTGATTCTCAGCCACATTGCTCCTAAGGGGAAAAAATGGCTTTTAATAATCAAGGTGGCAGACTTCAGTCACTGACGGCAGCTGCTTGGCTGCCATCCGGTTTAGGTTTATCTGTTCCTAAAGACGGGGCCTTTGGCAGAGGCTGCTCCCTACAGCAGAGAGACTGCCACGATGGGATCCTAATGGTGCGTCCTCCCACCCTCCCCGCTGTCAGCTCTGGTAAAGCTGACCGGCTGTTGCGTGTAAAATGTCAGACAACAGTAACCGGCAGAGCGGCTCAGTGGCCTTGAGTCTTGGAGCAGTAGGAGTCCAATTGGAATATACGTCGGACTGAACAAAATTATGAGAGTCTCTTCCTCAAAGTCTGTATTTCAGGGGAGTGTGTCTATTATAGGAGAGCATGTTTTGGAACTTTAAAGGGTGACTTTTACTAATGTAGATGATAGGAAAGTGGGTAATTCATCATTAAATCATCGTTGAAGGGTAATTTAAGTTTGATGGGTGGTCTTTGCTGACAGCGTGAAAGTAACAATGGATGATGAAGCATGCAGGGAACAAATCACCTGGTGAGTGGCCTTGTGTGCCCTGGATGTGAGACGCTGAGAAGGGCACATCTCCCATTGAAACAGAACCGCCAGGAGGCAGCCATCAGACTGAGCCCACGTGAGGACGTTCCACAAACCAACTAACGGCCCTGGACGTTGACCAACGTCCGTGTGCTGGGAGGAAGAGGAAGGCTGAGGAGCTGCTCAGGAATGAGGGGCCAAGGACAGCTGGACACAGCGTGTGATCCCTGAGAAAGCCAGGTAAGGGGGAAACCTGTGAAGGGCACTATTGCTTCCACTGGGAACTTTTGGGTATGGATGCACATTAAATAAGGACGATGTCACATCAAGTGTGACGACGGCCCTTGGTCGTGTAGGAGAATGTCCTGTCCTGGGGAGAGACCTGCGCTCAGACATGACAAGACGACAGAGTGAACCTGCTAAACTACTCATGTCGTTTAAAAAGAGTCATTTACTCTTACGTGCTCTGGAGTAGAGAACTAAACCTCTAAAAATCTTAAAACGAAAGCCACAGGCTTGGGGGGGACGCTCCCAGTGGGCCCTGCGGCCAGGATGGCGCGCGCAGACTCCAGTGAAGACGCGGCCCCTCAGACACCCAGCGGGACAATGTGGCAACACCTTTTTTATTGAGAGTAAGATGTGTTAACATCCAGCATGACAAAATTTGTACAAAGTTCACAATTTAAAAATGAAGTTATCACCGCAACTCGTGATTCCACACATTTATAGCAAAATTAAAGTCTCAACAAACCCATGCCGTGTAGTACAAAAATAAATCAAACTTCAGTTCCACAGAGAGCACGATAAATATTTATACAAAATTCTGTCTTCATAAATGATTACTTAAATTAACTTAGAAATGAATATGAACAATAAGTTAGAATAAATAAACTCTGATGACCCACAATAATCCCATACGAAAGGTCAGCATTCTCTATGTGACACTTTGTGATGCCTATATAATAGTCACGGTAACTTCTGATTGGATAGTATGTACCAACGTTAGATGAGCAGCAGATTTGTGCTTAAAACCCCTCTCCATTGTACATAGGTGATGACAAGAAGAATCCAAAACTGATACTACCTATTACTCTACTAAAAGCATTACTATATTGGCAAAGAAGCTGCAGACACAACGCGGCCGGGAAATGCATATGCCGATATGAACAGCGGGCCCCGCAGGGAGGCTGGGGCCCCGGACGATAGATATGGCATCAGGTGACAAGAAGCACCTTGCTTCAGCTCTCAAAAAGGCAATTCTGAGCATGGCAGCTACAACTAGTCGCACAACAGAAAGAGGGCGCCTGCAGAGAAGGCGCTGCAGAGCCCCGGTAATTACATAATCTTTCCCAGCTAGGTATTAAAGTCCTCGTGGAAAACTGTCAGCTTTTGTACAGTGAGCAGTATAAAGTGCCGCTGGGATATACATATATTTATACATATATATATACCGAGGTTGAGTATTGTATCAGAATATTTGCTGTGAGATCCCTGTAATCTCCCTTAGCAACATTATCGGGTCAGCCGTGAGGGCCTCCTCCAATTCTTCCAGGGTCAGCGTCGCAAGGCCACTGACACCAGGAATTGCACACCTCCGTACGGATATAGAGGACAAGGTAAGTGCAAATAATCGACTGGCACGCTGTGGGGACAATGACCCTGTAAGTCCTGTTCTGCTAAAAATATTTTTTTTTTTATTTTTACAAAACCCATCTTTTTTTTTTTCATAACAAAATTTTAAAGTACTTTTGTACTTCCTGCATAACATCAAGACATGGAAGGAAGAGATGCTATTCCATGTAAATCAAGTCGACATCGGAAAACACAACACGTCGTCCTGGGGACTACTCGGGAGGGGCGCACGCAGCAATCGAAAGTGGTCTTATGCATACATGTAAGTGCAGTCACTGAAGAAAACAACCAAATCTCCAGGTACAACGAGGCTAAGATGATCTAGTGTAAAGCAAAAAAGTGCTGAAGTAGATTTCATTACTCTTAAAATCTGATTGCATTCATGCCTAGGATAGGTCGGGACAAACCAAAGAAGGCTATGCGAGTGCCGGGCGGTCAGTGGTCTCCAGCGGAAGGTAGAGTGTGAAGGTCGCTTTGAGAGTTCTCTGAACAGAACCAAATGCTTATTCAGAGCCAAAGGCGGTGGCGGGGGCGGGGGAGACCCTTTACTGAGCTGCTTTCCCACAATCCAGCAGAAAACTCAGTCCAGTAACTCGAAGACCCACAAATCATTTGCTTTCATCCCCCAAACGTAAAAGAAACGTAAAATAATGATAATGACCACATTTTTAAAAGTGGAAAGGAGAAATAAATATTCTTAAATTATCTTTCAGCTTAAATTAAAACACACGGATTCTGTTGGGTAAACCACATGGCAACAACAGACAGTTCAGTGGGGCACAAAACTCAGGGAGGGAAGAGGAGGTTGTCCCAAAGTTTACTGAAAATGGAAAAAGACATCTTCACGCCGTCCACCTGCATTAAGCCCCTGTCTTAACTGAAGTTCCCATAGTCACGCCATGTAATGCTCAGGAGTTAATTTAAAAGTGCTGTTTAAGCTGCTTGGAATCTTCCGCCAAGTTTCCATGGCTTGATGTGGTCTTACAATAAATTACTTATCTCATTTCTTACAGTTAATCCATATGCCATTTCCTTGGAATGCAAAAAACCTCATTTATTGCCCCCACCATACACCATCCTCCTAAAACAAACAAACAAAAAAATTACATAATATTTCCAAGCATTGTTCAAAAATAAAGCATTTTTTGCAACCAATTCTTGCTATGAAACAATATGCACACAAAATGTATTTCTTAAATTCCATAAAATCCTCCAACATGAGGCAAAATGATAATGTCTAAAAAGTGGCTGCACGGCCACCACATGATCATTCAAAGCTGTATTTTTTTTTTGTCCATTTCAGTTCAAAATACTAAAACATTTAATCACTAAAGCATTAAAAAGAATTTACACTCTATTTATTTTGATCGGCTTACCTCTTCAGAAATATATATACCCCCAAATGTGCATACATTAGCAGCTATAAACATTACATGGCATATCACACTATGTCAGCTTATATGAAAACGTACAAAATGTGAATGTATTCAAAAACTATTCTGCAGGTACTATCTTTAAAGCAAGACATAAAATCATTATGAAGTCTTGTAAGCATAACACTGTTTCAAACAGAAATAAATATATAACACTTTCTGGTAAATTACAGCAGCAAAAAACAAGAGGCATCCTTTTTTAAGCAAGATTCCATCACTACAGCAGCTGTTCAGACCTGAATTCCTCTCACAGCCTGCTTTATATTTTCCAGAAGGGCTTTATTTTCTGGGCTCTGATAACGATCTTGATTTGTATACATGTCCGTCAAAGTAGTCACGTATGCATCAAAATTTTGTTCATTGATTGGATCCTACGAGATATTAAATAGTAGTTCATATACAACTTTTATTTTCTTAATAGGACATTCACATCAGCATAAAATAGCATCATAGCCTAGTGCCACTGTCCTTATGATATTTAAAAGGCCTATTCAGAGCATATTAACCATATGGGATACACTGGGTCAGCCCCACCAATGTTGGCTAGCAGTTAACATTATGGTTTTGGGGTGGTAACCACAAACATCCAAAGTCTGAAGAACCATGAAAATAGTAATAGAAACAGACATCTACTTTATGCTGTGCGCGGTGGCAGACCACCAAACGCCTCATCTCGAACTCTCAGTCACTTACCATATGTGGCAGCTGGATATTAGCTAGACTATGAATTAAAGACTGGCTTAAGTTGGCCAGCTCATGAAGAAGAGACTCATTTTGCTGTTCAATTACTTTGTTCTCCTCTTCTATCGTCTTCAGGTTGCTCTCCATTGTGGTAATCTAAAACGCACAAATTTGTGTACATGTAACACAAGGCCAGCCCTGGGAAGCATGCGCTCCTGCCCTGAATGACCACAGTCTGTCGATGCATCAGAGCTCAGAATCTGTCATTGTAAGGGTTTGGTATTTATGCTTTTGATTCATTACACTTGAAAATCTGGTAACTGGACTGTAACGGTTTGTCTTTCTGAGGTGGGATTAATGAATTAATGGAAAGTAGGCTTCTGGGCTGTTCGATCTCTATTCAATTTCTTTAAAGTCCTGCTTGTCATCGTGCACAGATTATCACGCGATGACTGTTTCCTTCTCCTGTCCTGCTCTCGCCACTGGCTCGATGGGCTACGTCAGCTACTTGAGTTTTACTGACTCGCTGCTAACAATTCTTTTTTGGCTTGAACCTAATCCTGCCACAGATGAGTCTTAAGATGCTGACTTGTTGGTGAGGCATGTCCGTGTCTCTCAGTCAGGGGCAGGTGGACACTCTCTGTCCACAGTGGTGGTGTTCCTACATTCCCATGTCAGGGGAAGGCTTCCTGACCCCCTCTTTCTTCCTCTGATGCCCCAGGGAGAACGCAACTGTTGCCATGGTCAAGGGGCTTTAGGTGGTGCCCTGGTGGCCTCTACCTACAGCCAGACAACCAGCACTCACTTATACAACCGGAGTCACACACAGGTAGGGAGGAGAGCCGCCCTGATGGATCCACGTGGGTGGCAAGAACAACAGCAGTGGACCCAAATACGCAACTGGGACCAATGCAGTCAAGGAGCTGGTGGCAGAGAGCCCTGTGCCCTGGAGGCCACAGAGAGGGGGCCACGCCGTGTCCCGCTCAGGAAACTCAGACTCGCAGGACCCAGAGCAGCATGCAGGCCCACGGCAGCGTCAGAGGGGACGTGTGGACACAGACAGGACTGCCAGGGACACACCAAGTCCCGCAGCTCGGCTCCTCCAGTCGTCTCCCCCTTCTGCCCCTGCGTTACCTGAATCTCCAGCTCATACTCTGAACTCCAAGTTTCTCAAACAGGGCTTCCCTGCTCAGAGTCCCTGGCCTGGCGCCTCTCCCAAGGATGCCAAGAAGCTGGGAGTCTAAGGGGAGCTATCGGCTTCAGCTTCATTAGATCAGTCAGGCAAACTCGGGGTTCTTTTCCTGGCAAACGGGAGTGATGATACGTGCCCAATGTGCCCCTCATGTAGAGACGCCCAGTGTTTGCAGTAGGAAAACATGTTAGTCCTGGGCTTCTGGTCCAGTCAAGGGGCCAAGCTGAGGGGAGACACCTGGGAGCCCCCTGGGGTGGATACACGACACGGCGGTAACAGAAACTGGAGAAAGGAGCTCCTCTCCCTCCCCATGCAGCCCCATCGAGGGCTGGCTGGTCCGTGCTGTGGAAGGAGCTACCAAAGGGAGGACGGCGGGCAGAGTGCCCTCCCTGCAAACCCATGCTAGAGCGACCATGGGTCCCAGGTGTTCCCCAGCGCCTGGCTCTTGAAAGCCAGGGTGGCTCTGAGGGAGGGGCTCCACCCCAGGAAAGGCCTGCAGCGTGTGGGGAGCACAAGACAGGGGACAGGCAGCGGCTAGTAGCCTGTCCTGTCCGTCATGAGCCACGTGCTCCTGGCTGTGGGCTCGCTGTCCTCAGCCTCGGGAAGCAGGAGAAGGGCGCCCCCATGTCGACAGCTCATCCTCTGTCTAAACGTCTGAGGAGCGTCTAGTTCCTGTGGCAGAGGGAGGAGCCCCCTCAGGGCGGGGTGTGTGTACAAAATCCAGCTGGGGCCCAAGTTAAAAATAAGATCCATAAGAGAAAGAAATATAGCTAAGAAATCACTGATTTGCTGATATTAAAGATACGTGTAATTCTTCACACTGTTCTGACCGTTTTAAGCGGAGAGACCGTTGAACTCTGTCACTTTTGGTGTCCAGGTTCTGGACCTGGGACGGGAGGGCCCCCGTCTCCCTCAGGTTCTGCGGTTGTGAAAGGAGAGGTTTGGGTCGGACTGGCCATTCATAAGACTTTTTTGAAGCCGTAGAAGCTACTCTTACCCTGAAGACTCACGTGGAGCCGTGGCGCAGAAGGCAGTGAGAGTGGCCCCGACAGTGGGAGCCAGGCGCCTGGACGGGGCCGCGGCCGGAAGGGCTCTGACATCCCTGGGGCCTCGTCTGGGGGAGCGGGCCAGCTGACCCTTTCACCATCTCGCTGGCTGTCCTGCCGGGACGTTTGGGCCCTGCAGGCGAGCCTGTGTGCCCTGTGTGTCACCTGTGGCCGAGTGGCCTGGGAGAGGTTGCCTTCTCCTCCAGTCAGACGGGACAAAACACGTTGGTGTGGGTCTCCCCACTTCCTGGTGGCATGGATGGGAGTGAGGGCGTCAGAGGCACCAGAAAGCCAGCCACAGAACCTCCAACCTTCCAGAGTTTTCTGAGACAAGCAGGGGGCTAACCTCACCCTGGCCAAGGATAAAGAGGCAGAGGCCCCCCCGGGCTAACATGGCCCCGGGGCTGCCCGGCTGCACCGTGCATGTCCTCAGAGCTAACCGGGCAGTGGAGTGGCATGGGTTGGAAGGGGCTCTTCCAGGTGTCGGCTCAAACGATTTCCTGAGGAGTTTTGCCTGAGGTCTAATCCACTCACTGTGGCTTTATGTGGCCTGTGGCCACTGCCTGTCTCCACATTCAGGGCTGGTGTCCCCTGACCTGCAGCCCATCCCCTGGCCCCGAAAACTAGAGCTCGGGACCTGGCTCAGTGCATCCCTATCAATTTGAAGACACCAGGCTAGCCTCCCAGAGGAGAAGAGCTGCCCGGGTGCACCTGGGAAGTCACCTCTCATCGGCCAGTGAGGACGCACGTTGACCCTTAAGATTTGTCTTTGACGTCCGATGCAAAGAGATGCTGCTGGGAGCAAATAGTCACATTGGACACCAAAAAGGCCCCGAGTGGGCCATGACAGCTAGCAGGGAGCAAGGGACTGCGGAGGCCGAGGCAGGCGGGCGTGTGTGCACAGGGCCTCGATGTGTGTTTCTGGCCCAAGTGTCTGCGGTCCTGAGGGAGCTCAGAGCCAGGGAGCACGGCGCTGATCCCTCAGCCAGGGCAGGGCTCCGGCGTCTGGTCCTATTCACAGCCGGCAAGAGCTCCCCGTCCACGGGTGAACAGGGACACCGGGAGGCAGGGCTTCCCGCGGAGGGTGGGGGTGGGAGGGAAGGGGTGTCTGGACGAGTCCTGCGGAATGGGGCGCCCGGCGAGCTGCGGACTTAACACGCTGGGCAGAGGAGGAAATTCTGAATCCTCACGACTGTCAGAAATGTGCCATTCGGAGGGGGATTAACCATGATTTCCGGGCCGTTCACCCTTACGAGCAAGTCCTGCTGGAGGCGGGATAGCCTCGTCTGCCCGCCGGACGCCTCACTGCTGCTTGGCCGTCTGACGTTCCCTACAGCCAAGGGGCTCGTGGGAGGGTCATGTGCCGTGGCGTCCTCCACAGGGCCAACGCCTCCTCCGGACCTCGGCCTGGCCTGTGGCTGTGAAAAGCCACACGTTTGGATAAACATCAGGGAAAACTCCAGCCCATTCCGGGCGGGCCTTTGGCCAGGCAAACAAGCCTACCGAGCCGTGGTGGCGGTCGGAGCACAGCCTGAGGGCGAGGCTGCCGGCACTAAGTAGGCTGGTATCAAAACAACGGGACAGGACAGGAACGGCCAGGTAGAGACCGTCCACCCTCCACTCATCTTTTGTCCTCACAGGGAGGGGCCCATGGGATCCCTTTCAATTATGCTGGTGGGAACCCAGCCTGAGGGCCCCCGACACAAAGAAGCTGTGCCCACTGTGGACGAGGGCCAGCAGGCAGCAGAGCAGAGCCATGACCTCCACCTGGCCCCACAAGACCCATAAGACCGAGGGCAAGTCCCTCTCAGCTGCTCCCGAGAATCCCAGTAACGCTGTTGAGGGTCCCGCTGGGGAGGGGCTGGTCCAGGCCCACAGGGAGGGTGGGAGTCAGAGCCCTTGTTCCTAACAGGACAGAAACGCCTCGCCTTACCTGTGACAGCAACACAGGGGCCCACTCTGGGCAGTGAGCATCCACTCCCAGAACCTGCACCAGGCACGGGGGCCCTGCGGCTCTCAGAGAGGCAGCAGGGCGCACGAGGAGCCCCCAGCACCATGGCACGGCCACTGCCAGCTGTGGCCTTCCCGTAGCTGAGGACGGCACCTCTCTGAGTCTCTGATGCGGCGTGTGTGGAATGACGACAAGGATACTCACCTTGTGGGCCACGGGAGCACAGCGGGGCTACGTGACCAGAGCCCTGGGGTCGGGCGCCTAGCAGGTGCTCAATAAAGACCCACTCGTCCCTCCCTGCACCCCAGCTGGTGGGCTGCACGTCACAGGGGGTCTGTGCCGACCACGCCCAAGCCTGGGAATCTGCACAGAGGCCGCCCCCACAGCACTCCTTATCTGGACAGCAGGGAACAGGGGCTGCTCTCTGTTTAAGGTGGCACTCAGTGACGTCGGGGCCCTCAGTGTCTCGGAGCAAGACAGCTCGTCTACTCAGGGACTGGGGGTCCTTGGGGACAACTGTCCACACACAGTGTGTCATCAAAATGCACAAGCGAGACAAAACCAGACCAGCGAGGAGCGCCTGTCCCAGTGAATTTTGCCACTGAAATGATCTCAGCAGAAAACTAAGACGTAAGGCGAAAAAAGGAAGGGAAAGAAGAGCAAAGGAAAGGAGAAGACGCCTCTGTGGACGCTGGCGCTCTGCGTGCTTCTCTGGCGCCAGGCACGCGTGACGGCCACGGTTGAGGGCTTCAAAAACTGTTACCTGAGTCCTGAGCTTGATCATGTCGGCCTCCATCTGTGAGTTGGACTCGTTCAGCTCCTTGATTTCTTCATCCAACTGTTTGATCTCTTCATCGTTCTCGATACCTGGGGCGACAATGCAAGAACGTGAAAACGACTGCGAAGAAAACATTAGTCAGGTAGATCTCTTTGTTCTTTTTATATTCGGAATTGAATGTCCTGGGAAAATAGACTCTTTTTTTTCCACAATATTTCTTAATTGTTTATCTATCAAGAGAGACTAGTTCTTAGCCCAAATATTCATGTTTCCTAGTTCAGGAACACAGGTCAACGGGTGACAAACTTCCATGGCACTCAACCCAGAGAAGTTCCTTACACTCCAAAATCACTCGGGGCTCTGAAAGGTGCCAGCCTTCCTTGTCTGCTCAAAATCGTTCATGGATCATAGTTTCTGTAGAAGTCCGTGTATGCCTTCTTTCTTGGTTCAGCCACGGCAAACTTACAGAAAGCCGCAGCCCCCGGGACACAATGAATGCTCCAGCAATACAATCGCAGACGCCTGGCCAGAAGGCCCCACCTCCGAGGTATCGTGAAAGCCCTGGAAATTATCCTTCTCAACACCAGCGCCCTTCCTGACTCATATACTCTTGAATTAAAAAACGCATAGTCACAATTGTGTGTCCCTCTGTCTCCTGCCACTGCCCTCCCTACCGTAAAGGCATCTAAACCAGAAGAAACCGACTGAGGGAACGCAGACCACCCGCCCCGAGGCACCGGAAGTGAATCTCCTCAGATAAGTAATCAGAGCCCCAGGGGGCCTCTGCCACAGCTGAAGCACCTTTGCCCCGGATGCGGGTTTACCTGGTTCCGTCCATTAGTCTCTCCTTCACTTAGCCACTCTGTCTCCCTCCCTCTCTGCCTTTCTCTCTGTCTCACCCCCAGACGAGACTGACGGTCCCTGCCCCCACCACGCTGAGATTCAGGTGGGAAAACTATTGACAGACATGTGAGCAAAAACCTGATGCAGCGAGAGCTGAGGACGGCCCACCCCATTGACTAAAAGGAAGCCGTCCAATGTGGAAGAGAATGACGGGGGCAGGGACAGGCTGCAGGTCCATGGTCACAAAAGGGCTCTCTGAATATCTGACTTTTAACTAAGCATCCCCTCATCTTGAATGGTAGAAAGGACATACGAGCTGACATTGAGAAGCTCATCTGGATCGAGTACCTGTGCTTGCCTGAGCCGTGGTCCTGTGCGTGGAGAGGACAGCCCAGGCAGATGACCGCCCACGAGCCTGGGCCCTGAGTGGGCTGCAGGGGTTGGTGCTGGTCTCTCTGGCACAGGGGCCGAATGGTTGCATTACAAGGGGCACTGTCAACACCGGCTGGCTTGGCTGATGTGCTCAGTTGCTTGCAACATTGCACTGCCAGGATCAGAGAGATCCTGACCCTTTCTAGTTTGGGCCATTTGGTCTCACATGGTTGTGTGTCCTTACGGGGAAGAAGAGCAGAAATCTTGCAAATGCAACCACCTTGACGTTCCAGGGTGTGGAATTGCCATTCCCATCAGTCAGCGGCAAAACAAGGGAGCCTTACTCAAACCCAAGGGAGCACACGCTGCCCAGGCCTCTGCAGGGAGCTGGGGTCAGGGCGACATGCTGTGTTCAGCTCTGCAGACCGAGGGGTGCGGTCAACCTGAGACAACCCCGTAGCACTGCAGAGACCGGGTGAACCGGGTCCCTCCCCACCGCGATGGTGAAAAGACAAAGAGGGAAAGTGCTGGGATCAATGGGGTTGGGTCTTAGTTGTGGTTTTTAGTGAAATGGTTTGGAAGAGTCAGCAGTCTTCCTGGTAACAGTCCGATTTCCACCCCAACACCGTTCCTCACAAAAGCAGTGAGGAAGCACATGTGACTGGTTTCCCATTTACCCTTCCTTCTGGATCATTTCTTCCCACGAGTCAGCCTTAGGAGTTAAGGGGGCTTCACAGACGTACTGGTCTGAGCACCCTCAGAGACTTCCCTCCTCCCTCCGGTGCCCCCACCTCACCCAGAGGGACTGGGCATGGACCGCTAACCAGAGCAACGGTCTTGAGACCATGACCTGTGACCTGCCACTTAGCTCTCAGAGTGCATCGCCTGCCAGCGTCTCGCAGGGTCCAGAACACAACAAAGCTTCCCTTCTTATCAAGTGCACCCCAGAGCAATTCAATGGTATCCTAAAAAGTTGCCAGTAATGGAGTTTACCCTTTCTCAGGTGTGGGCTATTATTTTTTCTTCCCCTTTTCATATCTGAACAGCCTTTTACGGCAATATTTCAAAATTAAGAATTAGGATCGGGGCCGGCCCAGTGGTGTTATGGTTAAGTTCACAAGCTCTGCTTTGGCGGCCCAGGATTCGGATCCAGTGCTCAGACCTACAGACTGCTCATCAAGCCATGCTGTGGTGGCATCCAACATGCAAAAAATAGAGGAAGATTGGCAAAGATATTAGCTCAGGGCCAATCTTCCTTACCAGGAAAAAAAATAGGATCAATTGAGATGATGTATATAATACTTGGCACACAGGAATCTCAATCAAGGAGGTGGTCATGTCATTCTTTTTTTATAGTAGAAGTTCAGATACACCCCGAATAGGAAAACCCAGTGCATAACAATCTGGATGGAGAAGCAACTGAATTATGAATCAATTTATCATTTAATAGGGATTCCCCACAGAATTCCTTTAAATTGCGAGCAGTCCAAAGGCACTGAGAACATCTCTCATGTAAGCCGAGGCCTGCGGTGACCTGAATACTCATAAGACGTCGATTCCCCAGGCTGTGACGGGTGGATTTTCTGAGGCCTGGAACCTGCACACGAAGCTGGTGTGCAGCTCTTGCTGCGGAGCCATCCACTGAAGACCCCAGAGCTGTTGGATCAAGATATTTAATTTCAGGTAATTCTCAATAGGAAAGGTGAAAAATGCTCTGCGCATCTGCCGGTTCCAAACATCCAGATGACACATTTCCATTAGAGAGGAGGAGTGGAATTACAAGCAAACTGTCCCTTTAAAGATGGGCAGTGTGAAGACCACCGTGCCCCTGCAGATCTGTGAGACAGCAGAGCTTTCCCCAAAACTCCAGTTAAATCACCTTCATTGGCTGTCAGAGGTGCTCCATCAATGGCAGCTGATACAGAGGGAAGCACGTCAAACACCCCAAAATGTCAATGACTTTGTCTCGGTGCTAGATCCTTGCCACGAAAGCTCGGAGGAATTCTGATAAAGTTATGAGAAGAGAATGCGGGGTTTCTGGAGCATAGGTGAAAACTGGCGGGGCCATTTTACTGGCTTGAATTGTCATGAAAAAGCATCAACAATGATTATTTTCTAGTCAACTTTCATGGAAAACCACATCTAAGCAGGGGATAGAGGTCACACTACCGGGGAGATTTCCTGAGGTCTGGAGGCATTTCTGAGCCACCTGACGAGAGGTTTTAGAAGCTGGGGTTTGAAACAGGACAGACCTGGAGTTTAAATCTATCTCATGCTACTTGAGAATTTTGTGATGAGTAATTTTCTGAATCCCTTTAAACCTCAAATTCTCCCATTGCAAAAATGGTCCCTATCGGACAGAGTGGCTACAAGAAATAAATGAACCATGTACGACACCTGACCCACAGTGAACTCGATAAATGGTGGCTAACGAGGGAAGTTAAACGTCGAGCGCTGCTCAAGATGGCAAACACCAGCGGAGCATCTGTGTGTCTACAAACTTATCTGTGTTTTGACTGAAAAGTAGCACAAACTAATTTTGCTCTGCTGACACATTAGTGTGAGTTGACAAATAATTGAAAGGAAAGGAAAAACATTCTATGCAGTCTAGTGCAGTGAGCTTCCATTTTTGTTGAACTAAAGAATTAAAAACAATGCAAATTTCCTCCTCCTAAGTCTTAAAGTCGACATCTAAAAGTTTTTATTATGAGTTTAAATAGTTACCAAAAAAATATACATATTACCGCAAAATCATAGGTTGCAAAGTGCTTTCAATATATTTCCATCAAAACTTTGGGTCAGAATGTTTAGTTTATAAAATTTATGAGAAATGTCCACTACATAAACTAACTAGCAAATCTGGCTCATTATCAAATCAATACACAGATCAGATCAACTTTCTGACAGATGTCAGTACCATTTTAAACCCAATAAGAGTATGGGCAAGGGTTCCATGATGACCTTTCCATCTCTAGTTCTTATTCTAGGAGCAATGGGTGGACGGGTGGATAGACGGATAGATGGACGGATGGGCGGATGAAGATGCGAGTTTTTGCCTGGATGAAATAGGAAGCACAGTGCCTGCGTATTTCTCCCTGGAGCTCTCTGGCCCTGCCCTCCTGCCCTCTTGCCCTCCTGCCCTCTTGCCCTCCTGGGATGCGCCCTCAGGAGACCAGCATTTGTGAGCCCTCCCTTGTTAGGTGCATGCAAATGTCTTGCTCCAGGACTCAGAAGTAACCTTTCTTTCTGAAGGTGGAGAAGGTAGGTGGTGACACAAGGGGTGGGGAAAGAGCTGGCAGATGACAGGCAGAATCTCGGTCCATTGGATTCTGGAGAGAGTCATGTGGAATTTGAGGTTTGGAAACTAATTTCCTTAAAGCAATCTGTGTCCACTCACCCCCAGGACAACCCCGAGAGCCACGGGCACATGTGCCTCTGTGTGACACCCATTTCTAGAGAGAAGAGCTTGCCAGACCCAGGTGCAAAGACCCCGGTCCCTTAGGCCCACACGGGGGTGGCCCCGGGAAGGCAGCTGCCTCGTGCTTGTTGGTGCCTGTGGCCTGGGCGACACACAGCACCTGGCCCCACTGCCGGGCTGAGCGGGAACTAAACTTTCTGACTAAGTTCTGCAGGCGGGCCTGCTCCCTCTCAGGCAGGGTGCTGCCTGGGTGAAGTAATGGCCTGGACAGGGAGCAGCACCTCCTCGTCCGTAAGGTCAGAGCTCCTCCCCTCAGCTTCCAGTATTCTATGATGATAGAGAAAATGATCTCATTTCCTTCTCTCCTGAAGGTTTGGCCAAAAAGCAGGGAAGCCAGGGGACCCCCGGCAAAGATGCCGACAGGCCAGCAGTGAACTTTAAGTCTCAGTACACGGCTGCCAGGAGGGGGCTGAGTGCTGACTGACTATACGAGATCGTTCAGCGGGATGAGGAGAATAATGACAATCTTGTCGGGAAGAGATGAGCGCAGACTCTTCTCTTAACTTGAGAAAAAGGATTTTAGGGCTGGAAGAGAGCTTCAAGGACATTGAGAACAGCTCCTTCTCATTCATTTAAGTGCTGGAGAGAAAGCGCTGGAATCCCAAGACAGGAAGCGCCTTGCCAGGGTCAGCTACGGAACCTCATGGTTGTCTCCTTGAGACCTCAGCGCTCCTGTGGCTCCAGACAAGGGCACCGAGGGAGGGAAGCTTCTGGGCTCGTGTGTCACACATGACGGCGTAAGAGTGAGCTGGGATGAGGTTTTATACCCTCGATGTTCAAGAAGAGAGAGGAAGAGAGATTGTCTCCTCCACACATACAGCTAAGGCAACATCAGAGCCGGATCTTTTGATTTTCAAGGTACAAGTGCAGTGGGAAACGGGATATCCACACTTCTGTGCCCTGAAGAACAGCGGTAAATTCCCCCGTCTCGTCATCGAGTTAGCCACACAGATGCAGATACGATGGCTGGTTATCTGCATCCTGCACCACAGCCTTCTCACAGAGAGAAGTGTGCTCTGCGGTTTAGGAGCAATGTCCGGTCCTGGCACAAAAGGGGCCCCGACAGGTGAGGACCAGGAGGACCGAGGGCCCCAGGCTCCAGCAAGGACTCGGGCTTGGGGAGACCCGGGTCTGACCTGCTGCCACTTATTCTCCGGGCGACCTGGGGCTTCCCAGGGTCCTCGCCTGTGGACACGCGTGTAATAGAGCCTACAGCGGGAAGAGCTGTTTCTGCCCTGACGCCGAGAACCGCGTGAGCTCTGTTCAGATGCAGAGAAATGGGCGATGGCAACCCCAGCCTGGCGACCCCGGCGGACCAGAGCCATGCCCCGCGCCGGGGGCCCAGCCAGGATGAAGCCGGTCGCTGGCTCCTCCAGAGAACAGGAACAGCCCACACTGACTGTCACCTCTTCAAGAGGGCACTAGGCTTTCTCACTAACAGCTGTGTCTGGTGGCTACAGAAAGCGGACTCTGAGTTTGGATGCCCCTGGTAAGGCGACGGTGAATAACACAGAGACGCCAGCCCTGTGGATGCCCTGCCTGCGGCCCAGCCTAGCACAGTGATGGCTCCTCCTCGGGGTTTGCAGATCCACTCTCCCAATGTGCTTTCTTACTTTCCTTCTTGTTCACTTTGCACCAGGCCTCTGTCTAACTACCACTGCCTTCATTAGCAAGTCATACACGGATAGAAACTCAGGTAAACGTGTCTAAGGATTTTCATTCTAACGCCAGAGTTGTTTTGGGGGTGAAATGTCACACTAAATGTTTTGGAAAGAGCTCAGTAATGTTGCTTTCTTCCTGGCAATGAGCACCAGCCTTTGATGGCCGAGAGAGAAGAGACGCTGGTGATCCTAGTGTCTCAAAACAGGCTTCCCCAGGCCGGCGGCTGGGACTGCAGGCGGGCTGAGAACTTGCGGAGGTCGGTGCGCTGTGTGACCAATCTCCACTTCTCTGGCTCCTGACCGTGTGCAGGACAGAAGTGGGAGGCAGAGAGCTGGGCCCGCGGAACCCAAGCCTTCCAGAGATGAATACGGTGACCCCGACTATCTTCCCAGGAAATGAGGGGCCGCACATAAGGAACGTTTCGTGTAGGCAGGTGCACGCTGAGTCTCTCACACCGTCCTCAGGGCCTCAAATGAAGGGTCAAATGTCCTGCGGAAGCCTCCGGACCATGGCCCAGGCCTGTGTACCTACTCACGAGGGAGCTCCTCCCGTTCTGTCTCCTAATCAGTGGGTCCCTGGTGGAGGACAAAGCCCCAGCCTGGGAGGGCTGGGCTCTTGCCCAGGGCCAGAGTTATAGGTCGCGTCTATCTGTGATGGTTGAGGGGACTTCCGGCCAGGAGGGACCCTCATTTCGCCGTGCTGGTTCCTTTGCGGAACACAGAGTCAGGCGAGCGCCTTGCTCCCCAGTTTCACCGTAACTCTCGCTCTGCCCAAGCCCGCTGGTCACGAAGTCCTGAGGGGCTGAGCAGGAGGCCGGCCCCTGCCTTCAGGGCGGCCGGTTTGCTGAGCGGTTACGCACCACACCCAGCTCTCCTTACTCAGGAGTCTGTCCTACAAAGTCACCGCACACATGGGGCGAGCGAACATGGAACCGTTGCTTCTGGGGGACCTGCCGGCCCCTTGCAAGCCTCTGGTCGCAGTGGTTTTGTCAACCGATCCCCACGGAGGCGTGTTTTGCGTGTGTTTTGTCTAAAGACACCTTTTTAATGTACGTTGTCGGTTTGCTAACGTGAACTCATGGCAGCAGCACTAGCTCAGGCCAAAGGCAGCTTCTTCCACACGCGTCCTCTCCCCCAGGCGCCTGGCAGCCTCCCTTAGGGACCTAGACAGCACGAGGCCTGGGGGCTCCTAAACGCAAAAGCACAGAAGTGGGAAACACGCAGCACTGAGGGACCCTTGTTGGCGGATGGGCTGGAACAAGCAGGCGAGTGCCGCCTCGCTCCACCTCTGCTGGGAGCACGCAGCAGGCCAGACTCAAATTTCTCTCGGCTCTGCTCAGTCCGCGAGGGGCCTGTGCTGCGAGTGTGGATTTTGGAGTTACAGATACATTTTAGTGAGCAGGCGAATTCACGGATACGGGGACCGTGAGACGTCCCCAGGGCTGTGTACTGTCCTCGCCCTGCAGGCTTCTCTGCGGCCTCTCATCGGCCCCCTAGAACTTTCTACACAAGATGCGTGCGGGTGGGGCAGAGGGGCAGGCAGAAGGACTCCAGAACATCAGGCCCCGAGAGCCGGGAGGGAAGGGGGAGCAGAGGAAAGCGGGCGGGGGCCGTGTCTGCTTTGTGGCCTGAGGGCCCCTTGATTCTGCCCCTCTATGAGGAGGCCCTGGAGGAGCCACTGGACTCTGGAGAGCACACCCTGGACTTGGGCTTGTGTTGTGGTGGGAGGTAAAGTCAGGGGTTGGCTTTACAGGTGGGGCAAAAACTGACTCCGCCTCCACTGCCTGAGAAAGGCCAGCCATAACTGTTTGGGCTCCAGCTAGGCCGGAGGACACGAGGGTGTGGTTGCTGCCTGCCCCTGAGCAGCGAGGGACGGGGGATGGCGGTTACCGTTGCTGGCCCGCTGTCGGATGGTCAGCATCTGCTCTCCTGACAGCTTCGCCTTCTTCATGGCCGACGTGGCTCTCGGGCATCCCGACAAACTGAGGACAAGAAGACAGGAGACGGTGTGAGTCTCGGCTCTCCAGAGGCCCCAAGCCCTGCACAGAAAGGGTCATGAGCCAGGCATGTCCCGCGTCATTTCATGAGGCCACTCGCCAGAAAAGGGCCGTCGCAAATGGGAAAAACAGCCAGATCGAGGAACACAGCTCAGCCCGCTGTGCACGGGGTGGATGTGCCCATCTGCGGTTCTCAGATATCAGTGCCCGACACCAGGGAGCCCAGGCTGCAGGCGGCCTTGGGTGAGGGCCCAGCTCTGGGGCCCCAGGGCTGGAGGGAGATGTGCCCTTCACTGTGGGTCTTTAGGGCTGTTTGGTATTTTATGGAGTGACTACCTGTTTTAAAAAACTTGTTACTACGGAAAGTGTCAAATTTACACAAGGGTTGAATTCAAAACCTAATTCAAACAAACAAAAGTAAAAGGGTCGGGATAACGAGCTCACATGCAGATTCCATCACTGTCTCGGCACATCCCGGTCCCTCTGTTCCCCTCCCGCCACACGGGAGTTATTCTGCAGTAATCCCAGGCATAAAAAGAGAGGTTTAAAGTCAATATCTCACTGAATGCTCTAAAGCTAGTGCCAGAGGTGCGGCTTCAAGCTGCCCGCTATCTCCTGTCTGTGCCCACAGCTGTCCCTCCGCCCGTGTGCGCTCTGCGCTGGAACTGGGCTGAGGGCTCTGGTGACGTGCACAGGAGGCTCTCCTCTTTCCTTTCTTGCTGTGGACGTGTTGAGGACAACGTTCTCATCCTGAGCACCTTCACGGAGCCCAAGTCTGGGCCCCACCATGCCTGCCTCACCCCTCACCTTTCACCTCTCACCACTCACCCCAGCTATCATCCAAAGGATCCCCACTGGAGGACCCTCTGCACTGGTGGTCAGGTCCACCTGGCACTTCACATACGGATGAAATGAAAAATTGTTTGTGTAGAGTAATTTATGTATTTATTTCACACATGCATAATTTTGTATTTCATCCGTATATTCAGTGCTCCGTGGGCCCCGTCCATAGCACAGTGACGCCAGGCTAGGGGTTTATCCACCTCGACACCCATCCCATACCCAGTGACGGCGTAGATTATATTGTTACTAGAAACCACTGTTCAATGTTACATTAATATAATGAGGATTTCTAAACATCTCTTCAGACATTTTTCTAAAATACTTTCTGATGGGGATGTTACAGTTGTTTGCAGGGAAAACATATCTTGTACAACAGACATTTTCACCGTCCTTTACCATTCACACTGCAGTGTCTCTGACGTGACCTTGCTGGGCTGCTGGCATCTGGCTCTGTTCTTGAACATCCCTGCGATGCTCAGTGGCCACTGTGTCTGTTGCTCTTCCCAGAACCTCGCTGGAGTGAGCTGTTTGCTGACAGCGCCTCTAGACTTACGGGGAAAGCGGCACGGGGCTTCAACCCAGTGGGGCGCCACCAGCCCCAGGCCCTGTCTTCTCCCTTCCCTGAGGTCAGCTCCCCAGAAAACCCCAGGAAACAGAGGCTCTGGGATCCTGATGGCACGGTGGGTGGGGTGGGGGCAGGAAGGCCCTGAGGGGCTCCCCAGGAGCAGAGTCATTCTCCTAAGGGGGTTCTACGCTGGTGCCCCAAGGCCAGCCTCCTCGTCATCGCTGTCCACCCTGTGACCAGCCTCACAGCTGTGTTCTGAGCCGAGTGTCCCTCAGAACTCCTTCCTCTTCTCCCTGCCACCAAAGTGACCTGTGATTGCCCTTTGGTGGCCCCGCGGCCTCGGGCTGGCTCCCCTCAGCTCGTCAGCACCGCACACTGGAGGCACCCGGGAAACTCATAGCCGCCACCCGTGCTAGAACACGTGGTTTCTCGGGAGGAGTGCCCCCAGCCCAAGCCATCTCCCGGTGCCCTGAGCCCCGGGGCCCTCTGCAGAGCGCCACCCTCCCTGGGCCCGGCACTGGGCGGCTCCCCCCATGGCTGCGGGGATGCCCGCGGCACAGCTTGCTCCCCCCTCTGCGCGGCCGCCTCCTGATTCCTCTTCACTGCTTGTTACAAATCAGGGCCCGGCGGGGGCCTGGCTGAGCCCCTTCCGCTCTGACCCCAGACGCCCTGGAGCCTCGACCCTCGACCCTCGACCTGGGTTAGTTTCGATCCCCCGTCATCCTTCCCGGTTTCCCCCCATCGCAGGGCTGTTCCTCGAGGCCCCGCCAGGCACGTGCAGGCCTTCCGGGAACACTCGTGGATGGGGTGCTGCCACAGTGGGCGTCTCCCCACCCCGAGTTCCGACCCCGAAACTAAGGCGGCCAGAGGCACGTTGGGGACAGTGATGGAGGGGAGGACGAAGGGGCAGGCTCAGAAAAGCAGAGCCGCGGAGCCGCAGGGGCGTCCCCGGCGCCACCAGACTGCAGGTTCCCGCCCGGGACGGGCAGCGGGAGGACCTGGAGACCGCGTAGACACGGATTCTCGGACCCACGCAGAGGTTCAGAACCGACTCCATCCTGGGGCCGGAGCCCTCGGCCGCAGCCGGGAACCGCATCAGGACGCGAAGGCAGCCGTGGGAGCCGCGCTCTGTGCGGACGCGGACCCGCGCGCTCGGCCTCGGGCCTCGGTCCCCAGCTGCATCGCCGCGGCCGCGGGTCCAGCGCCGTCTGGCGGCGGCTCTCCCAGCCTCACCCTCTGGGGGCGGGGGTCCCGGGGTCCGAGCTGGTCCCCGTCTCAGGGAGAGCGACCCGGGCGGTCTCGCGCGGTGGGAGTGGAGCCTGACGTGCAGACCCCGCGGGCCGCTGCGGACGCTCTTTAGTGGAAACCCGGCTGCTCGGAGCGCACGCGGGAGCCGAGAAGCCTCAGGTCTGGGACGCTCCGGGCAGCAAACAGTCAGCAGGCTCCGCTCCAGCGCGGCGCTGGCCGCCCCGGGCCCCGGCGCCCCGGGAATTCCGGGGAGCGTTCCAGGCAAGCGCTTTAGAAGGAGACCGGAGGCCTGACGTTTTTATAGGACATTGGCCCCAAAGGGACCTCCTGCAGGAGAACATCACAGCTGAAAATACCTAAAGAAGTAAAAATTCCGGGGAGACGTGGTTCAAGAGACGTTGGGAGGAGGAGGGTTCATTGGGAAGGAAAATAAGTAATCTGAGAGCAGGTCGGGGGTGTGTTCAGACTGTTTCTTGCCGAGAGTGGCTGGGAGGCAGAGAATTCAGGACCAAAGAACCCAGACGGGGGCTGGGACCGTCCTGTCTGTGACTCAGGCCCGACCCGGAGACACGTTCATCCAGGTGCCAGCAGCTCCCTTTACACCGGTTTGTGCTATTGAGAGTCCTCATTCATTTTGCTCTTTACTATTCACGGTCGCTATTATGATCCCATCAGCATGAATGACTCCTACGAGGTGTGATGCGCTCCATGCACAGCACACACACAATTCCCTGTTACAGTGCTGTGCACGTGTCATCACTGACTCTTCCCACCAGGATGTCGTTCCGTAAGCAGACGTCGATGGCGCAGCAGCGGCCTCCCCGCCTTAGCATCAAAGTGCGCACCATCTGCCCACCAGAGCAGCCGGCTTTGAATTTGCCTCCCGGGACTCCGTGGTTTCACAAGGGACCCCAGGGGCATGTGTCCAGAGGGGGCAGAGGGTGTCCTCTGAGCTCCAGAAACTTCTGCCTCTGGTTATTTATCAAATCTCTGCTGGCTCAGATTTGGAGTTTCTTCCCCGAATGCATTCTGAGTCAACCCCCTCCTCTGTGCGTAGCAGCGCATCCTGGGAGCCACGGACAGAGGGAAGCGTTTGGAGCAGGAGCTGGGCCTCACACGGCCGACAGGCGAGCCTTCGGGGCCTACAGCTCGCGGGGTCCCACCAAGTCAACCAGCGTGCGCGGGTCGAGCCAGGGACCAGCAGGCTGCCCAAGTGCCTGTTTCTCTTTCTTGTTTCCCCCTCAACCTGCGGCATTTTGGAGGCGTTATGGGCAAAGTAGGCTTTTGTGAGTGTCTGGGTCCAGGCCATCAGGTTTCACAGTATTTGGAGGTCTCTTCCCTCAAGGATGGGGGGCGTGGGGGGTCTTTCACGTGCACCTGGTAAGGACCACAGCTGTTCTGTCATGAACCCCTTTTCAGGCCTAACACTCCTTGCTGAACTTGAGGGCACTCAGTAATGTTGCCACGTGAATCAATGAACACAGGCCTGCGGGACTGCGACGTGTCTGCTCTCTGGGTCTTTCCCTCCGCGGTCTCCGCTGGAGAGCAGACGCTTAATACTGTGTCTGCGGCCAGAGGGCAGGGCTCTGCATTGGCTGGGCTGACAGTGACATGTAACTATGGAAACCAGGCTCCGGACCACCCACTGGGCAGGCGCACCGCCCCCCCCCCCCCCCCCCCCCCGCAGGAGGGCCTGGGGCGCTGGAGAATGCTGGTCCATGTGGTCCGCAGGTCCCGTGGCTGCCCCTCCTGCCGCCCCCAGGCTGCTGCTTGGCTGTTTCTCTGGGTCCTTGATTGACATGTGCCTTCTCATCCTCAGTGAGGCGGTCCTCAGAACTCAGGAACGCAAGCTCTCAAGCTGCCGAAACTTCTCAAAACTCTCAAGATCTCCTCAAAAGCTCAAGACCTTTGCTGCCCTGCAATTTTTCTTGTATTTTTCCTTTGACAATTTTCTGTCTTCCATTTTCTCTCTTCTCTTTTTCAGAATCTCCTATTAGTTGGTCACTAAACCTCATGAATTCTCTATTTTATGAAAAATATTTTCATCTTCTTTTCTCTTCTCTGTATAATTTAAAGGAGATTTCCTCAACTTTATATTCTAAACTTCAACTGAATTGTTTATTTCACTTATCCAGTTTTTTGTTTCTTGGATTACGAATATAATAAATTATAATACTCTTTCTTTTCTCCTTTTCTGTCTGATGACAAATCATAGTTTTTTAAAAAAATATTTCTTCTCTTTCCAGAAATGTCTGTTTTTTCTGAGCTTTTCTTCCCTTTTTAAGTGTGTTCACTGTGCTTTCTGTTATGTTACTGCATGCTCTCCTTA